CACACACACACACACACATACACTCACACACACTCACACCCCCACCCCCCTTCAAACACACAATCATTAGTGCACTGTGACTATATGAGTCATGGGTTTTCTTGGAAAGTCAATGCAATCTGGATACTTTCACTTTCACAGTGCTTGTTGTGGAAGGCAGTCATCAGATTCTGTCTTTTTGTCCCTCCATTTTGTTGGCCCTCCTTATTCTTTCACACACATTAAATTATTTTAACACACACAAACATGTACGCATAAACACACACACACACACACACACACGCACACACTCACACACGCGTACATACACCGCGCGGGGGCATGCACAATAAAGCAACTGATCATGTAAACTAGAAAACCATTAAATTTCAAACATACAAGGAAGAACTAATTACATCAGCAAAACATCAATTAATAAAACCCCAAAACCCTTCCTCTCACAATCTTTTAGTATAGGCCACATATCTCAGTACCCACTGCTTCTGTCAGCTATAAAGGAACAGAATGTATTTAGTGAAAACAGGAGTTGAATGCATGTACATCATAGCCTACTATGAAATGTCATACTATTTTCTGGGGGCTTTTGTGGCCCAGAGGTTGAGGTGTTCGCCTCTCATTCAAAGGTCCCAGGTTTGATTCCGGGTAGCGATGGAAACATTTTCTTCTCTAGAATTGTCTACTTCCACATTCTTTCCTTCTCTCTTGCAATATTCTGTCGTCTGCTTTCGTCTCCACTTTTCCCCCCCACCCCCTCAACTCTTTGCCCCCCCTCCACTGAGCTCCCGACTCTTTCTGCAGCCTTTCTGCTGCTACTCCTTGGCTCCTTCTTACTGCTGTCTTTCAGCCACACCACTGATCTTCTGGTAGGAAAGATCTACACCTCGCCTTCTCGGAGGTCCAGTGTGCAAGTTTCGCACGTTAAAGATCCCTTGGTGGTCCAAAATCGATCTTTAGGCTTTGGCCTCCATCCCGGCAAAATTCAAAATTTCCTACCACTGAAAATGTTTGGTGTGTGTCCTGCGTGCTCGTACGACCTTATGCAGTTGCGAGCGCTGTAAAACACTTTAAAAAATATCTTCTCGTGATATAGGTCTAATAATATCATTTCATTTATCCCGGTATCAGTATTAGCTGCCTTTTCCGATAACATACATGCTGTGACATAATACAATATAGAGATCTCGATTACAAATTACAGTTGCATAATATTAATTTCTTCGAGTATCACGATACTCTTTTCGACTTCGGTTAATTGCATCAATCGCTCGCCTAACAAGAGTGCATCGTGGTGTATTCGAGTAACTGTTGTTGTTAGCCATGGTCCCAAGGATGGGGTACACGGGCATTGATTAAAAGCTAATCTGCCCTGTGCTAGGCCTTCTCGGGGCATTCTTCATTTTTTAGATATCATATCTTTTCTATCATTTATCCATTGGGGTCTTGGTCGTCCTCTGTCTCGCCTTCTACCCACTTTTCATGACAGAACAGTTTTAAGTAGTCCACTGTCTCTTCGTTACGTACCCAAAACACTCCAGTTTCAGGTGGGGTTTTTTAGGTTGCGTTTGGGTAGATTTGATGAAAACAGACCTTCAGTGCTAACTAGAGAGCTGTTACGAGTCGCATTAAAATTCTTGAACATATAAATTTGTTTGCACACGGAATGCGCTATGTCCTAACGAACTTCGTGGCTCTTGGTCAGATTTGATAAGGCAAAGTTGGGGTCTGTTTAATTTAGAGTGCACTGGCCAATGCTGTTTGCTGAGCTGTCTCAATCTGATCATACTTGTAACCAGAGATCAACACTTCTTATAGTCTCTTGCCTCTCCCGACTCAGATAGGGCATAATAAATAATATTGTTTGTTGAAACAGTAGAGGGCGGCCAGATCTTCCATCATGAAGAAACAAAAAGTGACATTGGGACCCCCCCCCCAAAAAAAAAACACAAAAAAAACAAAAACAAAACAAAACAATAAAAAACCACAACAACAAAAAAAAAAACAAACAAAGAAAGCAACAAAACAAAACAAAACAAAAAACCCCCAAAAAACAAAAACAACGAACCCAAAAAACCCAGACCCAACCCAGATGCAAATAAAGATAAAAACAACAACAACAAAAAAGGAAAAAAAATCAAAACAAAGACAATTTGAAAATCCCACGATTTTATCAATTCCTCCGAGCCCAAACAACATGCTTGCTTTCCCAAGCAGGCTTATGACCGTGTTAATTGGATGGAAATTGACTGACAGCCAATCACAAGGCTAGTTCGTGTCAGGACATTGCGGGGTCAAGGTCAGAACTTTTGTTTGCACCAAGGAGTTTAGAACTTACTTTTAAACTCCTTGGTTTGCACGCGGAATACGAGAAACACCAGTCGTCTTCCGGTTTAATTTGATGAGACAAAGCAGCTGTCTGGGTCTGCTGACTGAAACTTCAGAGTGTGCACTGCCATAGCCATTATTGGACCGAACCCCATCCGATCCGATCTCATCATGCATTTGACCTTTGGGCAACATTTCAGGGACCAGTGTCTAGTCTGACTGAAGCAGAATACAACAGCACACTACTCTCATCATTAACAGAGGATGGCTTGGAGCTGAGCAGCTGAAGGATCGCCCCGGTTGTCAGCAGGGCGGGGCTCACGAAAAACAAGATGGCCGACCAGCCGATCCGTGTAGAGGCGAGATCCTCGGAGCTTCTGCCTACAAAATTTGCTCCCCCGGCTGTGCCTATGATAACTGAATGAAGAACAGAACGGGGGAAGAGGGGTAGGGGCGAAAAAAACCCCAACATTATTAGTTTGATATATTTAATTTTTAAAAATTAAACGTAGGTGTTTTTACGCCACTATCGACATAATTTAGACATCATTAATTCAGGAGACAGGCTTTAGACCCTGACTGTCTGGGCCAACTCGGGCTGCAAGAGATTCAACATCCCAGCAGATAAAAGACCGAGAAATTTGATGATAATATTTTGGTCGTAATATTTTATTGTCCCTCGGTAGTCGAACTTGGGCTCCTGCATGCGACAGCGAAGCACCTAACCGCTACACCACAGACGCCGGTCCGTTTGATGAAAAAAGTTCCGAAAAAGTCCGGAAAGATGTCTACGAAGACAAGGTTGCATCGACGAAATCTGTCACAAGTTGATAATCTAATCTGCCCCCGTCGTTATATGCAAGACAAATGCTGAAATTAGGCAACCTGGGCCCAAAAAGGTGAAATTATGCGATTCTGTTAATTCTAACAAAGAGCAATAAAGGAAAATAATCAGAAATTATACAAAAAATGATCAAATTTTGCTAAATTATGCGGGGTGCATAAAAACCACGGGGACAGTCTAATACCCAGTGCCTATACTTTCTAATACTGTTACATTGTGTACTAACTTCTCTGACCGTCTAGCCCAGTGCCCATTGACACGAATGGTTCGAATCGGTTGGGTTTGGTAGCCAGCTTGAGGGTGCAAAGCGGCTATCGTGGCACAAACTGGTTGCCCGAATCGTTGCCTCAAAAACAAACGCGTTTGATTTCAGGTGACGACTTGGGCGATCGGTTTGCCGATCCCCCAATGGGGGTCTGGCGATCGGTTTGTGTCATGATAGACGCTTTTGGCGATCGGTTTGAGCCATGATAGCCGCTTTGCGCCCTCAATCTGGCTACCAAACCAAACTGAACTGGATCGATCGTGCCAATGGGCAGCCAGTATCAAGACTGCTAACTATAGGCCTAGACTATAGTAGATCTATACACAAAGATCCTCTACTACACGATTTTTGGACACATATCATGTACCAAAAATTATGACTGCCGTTCACTTACGAAATAATAATTGTTGAACACTGTGTGTTACCATACGTGTCCACTGAGACGGACACGACCCGATCTTTTGCCGGGAGAAAGAAAATCGGTCGGGTCGTTTCCGTCTTGTGTGTCCACCAGTTCGGACAAGACACGTCTAGTCTGTTGACCTACTGGTCGTATTATTCCACACACTGTGTCCCAATGCTGTGTCCTCGGTACAGAGCTATAAATAGTCGAGGTCAATGAACCCAAGACGGGAATAAAAAATGAATGGGTTTTAAAGGAAAATTGGTAACATTGTTAATATTCATTTAAACCAGGTGGTTTACCCGTAGACTTTGCCAATTTTGAGGCACTGATTACGAATACGACATTAGAATTGAATAAGAACTCAAAATTTTTTTTGGTTTCAGCTCCGGCTGGGCCGATGGCTCATTCTCCAACTGGGCCTAGCAGAATCTAAGCTCTCACTTGTCCAAGGATTTATAATATCTAGCCTAAGCGCTAACAAACGTACCGACACACAAACACATCGGGACTTCGCCGCCGTTCGCAGAAGACCTGAGTTCAATTCCCGTCTGGGAATGGTTTTCGTCGGCTACCTGGATGTTGTATCCTTCTCAACTCGGGTCGACCCATACAGCCAGGGTCAATGGATCATGGTCAAATAAATTTCCCAAGGGAATCAATTAAGCGGAATCTAATCTTTTCTATTTAAACTTTTAGTCAGTAGATGTAGTGCCTACATCAAAATATTTGAAGGCAACAAGGTTAGAAGGCGACCGAGAAAGACCTAGATAGATGGAGTCAGGGAAACATTAACCACCCCCGGCGTCCCGACGACCCAGGCTCTCCGGCTGGCGAGAGAGAGAGAGAGAAAGAGGGAGAGAGAGAGAGCAAGAGAGAGAGAGAGAGAGAGAGAGA